ACTTTGGTTATATCCGAACGCTTGTTTCATTAACTTGAGTTTATAATGCCTATGGGCATGTATAAACTTGCTCAAATGCTTAAGCCTATCGAAGGCTTGTTGATGAACAATTTTCCAACGTTTTGGGAAGGGTACTAACAGATGTTTCTTTAGTTCCAGTTCGCGTGTAAACACCGGTTCTGTAATTCATGCAGTGGGTCAGCGACCTTGGAGAAATGACGACGATAGTAGCTAGCAAATCCAAGAAACGAACGAAGTTCTTTCACGGTCTTGGGTACCGGCCAATTTTTCACCACAGATATTTTGTCAGGGTCAGTCGAGACACCGTCAGATGAAACCACATATCCCAGATACGAAACTTCTTTTTTAAGAAAACTGCATTTCTCTCGCTTTATCTTTAACCCTTGTTGCGCTAGCCTCGTTAAAACTTTTTCCAGTCTCTCCAAGTGTTCGTCAAATGTTTTTGAGAAAACAATAACGTCATCGAGGTAAACCAACAACAGTTGATAGATCTGGTCGTGAAGGCAGCTTTGCATCAGTCGCTGAAACGTTGCGGGGGCACCACAGAGGCCAAACGGCATTCGATTATATTCAAACCGTCAACGGAGTAGTGAATGCGGTCTTCGGTCTTCCTCTTCGACTGCGACCTGATTAAAACCGCTTGCAAGATCTAATGTTGTAAACCACTGTGCACCATTGAGAGCATCAAGTGACTCGTCTATCCGGGGTAAAGGGAATGAGTCCTTTTGCGTTCTTAAGTTGAGCTTTCGATAATCAACGCACAGGCGAAGGGAGCCGTTCTTCTTTCTCACTAACACAATAGGAGATGCATAAGGGCTGTGACTTTCGCGAATAACTGAGCTATCAAGTAATTTCTGAATGTGTTCCTTCACCTCTTGGTATTGATTTGGGGGAATTCGTCTGCAGGGTTGCGTAATCGGGATGTCATCCTCCGTCCTAATTTTGTGTTTAACCGTCTCCGTGTAGCCAATGTCATCGTCTGACTTTGAAAATACGGAAGCATGCTTGTTCAACAGTGCGTCCAGCTTTTCTTGCTGCTCTGGGGAAAGTCCGTTGCAAGGACATTCAGTATTTTCCACGACGTCTGGAATGGATGTGTTCTCGCTATCTTGCACCGTAACCATTTCTTCGTTGACTCACACTCTCTTGAATTCCACACCACTTTCGATGTTGCTGACTGCGTGAAGAACACCTATCCTTGTCCTTGGCTGGATCCACAAATCGTCATTGGTTAGATTTGCAACTCTCACACAGAAGGGGGATGACGGTCTCACGAGGGTGTTGGGTACCACTAGGTGCGACAAATGTTGTCCAACAACTGGTTCCACCATTGCCATCTCGCACTTCACTTGACCACCCCAACCAGTGGCAGGTATTGTTGTTACCGAACTAGCTGGGACCCGCACTGCACGCTTTCCTGCAACTCGAACGATACCCCGTACTGATGTATTCGCACGACGTTTAGCAGCCTGCATTGGCTGTGACCATACAGGATCAACTTTACTTAAAAATTCCGTTCCCTCGAACTTGGCTAACACTTGTCCCATTTCACATGGTACATTCATTCCAAGGAGACCTGGTACGTCTCTCTTCCGTGCTCTTATAGCATCATTGGCAGAATCCTTTATGACCAGTATTCCTCGTCTGGGCACGCTTAAGCCAAAAGCTTCAATGTCAAGTTCGAAATATCCAAGATAGGGTATTTCTAACCCATTTGCTGCTATCAGTTTTAACCACCCACTGGTTGAAAGTAATTCCTGTCCCTTTGGTTTAAAATGAGTATTAAATAATTCGACTGTAATAGTAGAGACCTCAGAGCCTGAATCAAGTAAACATGATACAGACACGCCTCCAATGTTCACAACAGCAACAGGACACTTGCCAATTATTCTTTCTGGTATGCTATGAGAGTCTGCGCCTTCCCCTCCTACTGTCCGACTCGCGACTGTGGAGGGAGACCGTTTGGCGCTGATGTATCTTGGCTAGGGACATACGATGATGGTGGGGCAGTATTGCGTGGTGGGCAATTGGATGGGGGAAGGCCGTCATTCTGGCGTTGACTTGTATTGTTCACACAATCTCTTGCAATGTGTCCGACTCCCTGGCACTAAAAACAAATTCTGTTCCCTCTTTCGTCAAAGCCGCGGAGGGAGGGGTTTCGGCCGCCTCTTCCTCCCTGATTCCGCTGAATATTATTGTTGGATCTGGAAAGGGAAATAAGGGTTTGGGACAAATTATCAATCGACTTACGCTGCTCTTCGAGGGCTTGGAATACTTTATCCATCTCTTTGTTTGGCTGTGTGGTTTGAGACTGCTTCACTTGATACATTTCTTTTTGTAGGACGCATCTTTTCATCCTCCTCTGCCCAGTGTAGAGCTTCTTCTCGTACTTCTAGAAACTTAGAGCTGGAGTTGCTTTGTACCATGCGCTTTAATTCCTTCCGTAGAAGTGGATCTCTCACGTTGTCAGCAAATTGGTCGAGGAGGGCCTGGTCACGAGAAGGTATGAGGGTGGGGTCTCGCGAATAAATTCGGTTGTAAATCTCATACAGCGCATGCGAGAACTCCCTCAGGGTTTCTGTATCCTTTTGCTTTCATTCGTAAAATGACTTTAGTAACTGTGGTGTGGTTCTCCGCTCGCCAAAAGCCTCCAATAAGATATTGCAGATTTTATCAGAAGTGTCACGTTCGGCTGTAGGGCGCAATTTCACTTCTTCCTTTGCTGATGATTCCAACAGTGATAGCACAAAGTCTGTTTGTTCAATTTGGGTCATTTTCCTAGCTGATATCAAACTTTTCACATTGTCAACAAAATTCTCCACTGTATCTTCATCTGCCTTTCGACTACCAGAAAACTTTTGTATTTTACGCTATCGGAAACATACACAACTTGGGGTGTCTGTGCTGGACTAGATGGTGCATTCTTACTTGAAGTACTAGCCTCGCCCTGGCTAACAGTTACTGCTGAAAGTGCTTGTTTTGTGTGTTTATTCTCATTTTTTAACTTTTCGATTTCAGCCATTAAGGTTTCCAATAGAGAGTTGTCCTCACCGCCTTGGGCCGCTGCACCAGCAACATCGCCGCCCTCGTTTTGCTCCTCATCAAACATAGTATTTTAATATTTTATTGCACGGATGTTCAAAATAATCCTGCCGACTACGCCAAATGTGACCGGGACATAATAGATTCGTGAAACTGTTTATATTTTTTTCCTTTTATTTTGAACACCCCAAAATACGAGGGCGACGGTTACAAGCGGGCAACTGCCCGAGAATGTTAATTCCCTTTATTGTTGCTTCTTTTCTTCGATTTATGCTTTCTTTGACGATAAATACTCAATAAGTTCTTTTGAAATCGCTTTTTATATTTTCTTGACTGCATTGGCAGCATGGCGTGTTCATGACGTAACAGGAAGTGATTAACAAGAAGTTAACTAACAATAACTATTAAGGTGTCTCTCTACAGTTTATTCAACCTGGCCACATAATGTTATCTAAATTTTCCGGTTAGATAAGTCCGAAGCCCAAACGTTTTGTGTTCCATTCAACAATTTGACCGTTCTGACCGGTCTGGCCGTGTTAATGGCAAGCGCCCTTAGTGTACAACTTGTAATATGGCAAAATATTTTGAAAGGCTATTTTAATAGAGGTTATCAGTATACCGCAATTCTTGGTCTGCTTGAAAAGTATCATAGTGTGAAGATCTTTTTTGTACGTACACTGAACGTGAGTACGGTTCAAGGCGAAGGGAAAGTAATTGCAATGAAGCAACTGTTCGTGAGCTTATTACCAGAGAGATGCAGGATTGTATTTGATTTAATTATCTTCTTCTTCGGCTGGAAAACCTGGAGGTTATCGATACATATGGCATGCCTTTAATACGATTGAGACATCATATTAGTATCCCATGCCGAGTTGTTACGACTATTATGAAGGAAATTGAAGGTGCCAGGGAGATAAGAGCTGGACTATACGTAATTAAGTTCACATCGTTTGGACCTAATTTCACTTGGCATATAGATGGTGCTGTATTTTCTTGGCATCGTAAAACATATATGATCCTGTGTTCAGGAAAAAATATTTATGTAAGTCTGCTTTGGATCTACCACACCAGATGACATTTCACAACCACCCAATTCAAACTAAATGAACTCTTGCATGTGTGGTTAAAATGCTGCGGAGACGCCTTAGGTCACACAGGGCTTGCCAGATTTGGTCGCACAAGGCGTGGTAGGACCAAAGCAGACTTACACAGTTATTTTTCCTGAACACAGGATCATGTCTTACGATGCCAAGAAAACACAACACTTACCATCTATATGCCAAGATTAGTGAAATTATAGCCAAACGATGTGAAGTTACGTATAGTCAAGCGTCTACCTCTTCTCTCCCAGACACCATCGGGGTCAATTTCCTTCATAATAGCCGTAACAACTCGGCGTGGGATACTAATATGATGTTTCAATCGTATATTAAAGGCTTGCCATATGTATCGATAACCTCCAAGGTTTCCAGCAGGAGATAATTAAATGAAATACAATCCTGCATCTCTCTGACAATAAGGTCACGAACAGTTGCTTCATCGCAATTACTTTCCCTTCGCCTTGAATCGTACTCACGTAGTTTTTATTTCTTTTCAGTGTACGTATATGGATCTTCACACCATGTCCATGATACTTTTCAAACAGACCAAGAATTGCGGTATATTGATAATCTCTATTAAAATAGCCTTCAATTATGTTTGGGAGATTGTTTTCAAGCTTCTCGTCCCTTTGATTGATAATTCTTGAACCAAACTCGTGACAATAATTTGCTTCGGGTAAAACAGCAGTTCCACACCACATGAACAACAAAATATTCTTTAGTATGTCAAGGTTTCAAAAATATTTTGCCATATTACAATACAAGTGGTACACTAAGTACTCCTCTTTGTGTAATAGTTCTCTGTGAGCTCAGTCGTGCATAAAATTCTGAAAGCTCTGCATAAAATTCTGAAGGCCCAGCATAAAATTCTGAAAGCCCTGCATACAATTCTGAAGGCCCCACATAAAATTCTGAAAGCCCTTGGCTTGGCTTGCCCTTGCATAAAATTCTGAAGGTCCTTACATAAAGTTCTGAAGGTCCTTCATAAAATTCCGAAGGCTTTACGTAAAATTCTGAAGGCCTTTAAAAATAAAAATTCTGAAGGCCTTAAATAAAATTCTGAAGGCCTTAATTCTTAAATAAAAAGCCAAAGGCTGATTTTTATATTTGTAGCATGTCCCCTGGGTTATGGACCAGAGTAGAGTCAGAGACTAGTGTATCTCTAGAGCACAGTGTCAGTGGAGAAGAGCAAATCTTGAATAAATATATATATAGTTGTTTTTTCCATAGACATAGTGGAGTTTTGTTTTGCATTCCTAGAGCTAGTACTAGTAGGAGATACATGCAGATGGAAATATCGGATGGAAAACCAGGAAATGTATCGTATTAAGTTATACAAGGTTATCCTGAACTGGAACATTTTGTGACCGGAACTAGGAAGTACAATTCTATACCGGGAATTGGAATACTTTGTCTTGGAAAAGTCGACAAATTCCATTCGATGTGGCAAACAATCTGTATATAAATTTCGTCTTGGCCATTATAGTAAGTCAGAACAAGTTCAAGGAAAATTTATATCAGCTACATCGTCAAAAAGCTTTTGATATTTTACCCAAGGCAAGCTACCGTCTTTGAATTTATATCTATAAATTATAGATAGATATTTTATTAAAAGTACGTGGACTTTTACAATAATATATAGGCCAACTTTAACTATTAGACATGTTACTGTAAGTCTACTAAATTATTATTTACTGTATAGCATGGATGGTACAAAAGTGTTCAGAGTTTGAAGCGCGTAGCCGGATAATATATAGTTTCCCTCGCAGCTGCGGAACTACAATCTACATACGAAATACATGAATCGTATTATATAGAAAAGAACTTAGTCTTAAAGCACTGGCACTGCCATCAATTCTGCCATTTATAGATAAATTATAGATATAGCCTTATAGGAGAGTTCAGCGGCTCAGCATAAGACAGTAATACTAATAGTGTGAATATATACTATAAACCAGACACCCGAAGCTACCCGACGTGATAAACATACAGTATACTAAAGTCTATAAACCTTTCAAAAATGTTATACGTTTTATTTTTAAAACTTCCCAAGGGCCTATGAGTAAAACGAAACTAACAGTTTTAATGCTATCTTGTGCGTTGTGAGCCCTTTCTAAAAACGCCGTTGTGCCTGTGCCGTGGAACTATATATAAGGTAGAATGCAACCTCCGTCGCAGGGAACTTTCCACCCCTGGGTACGAAGATGGTAGAATGATGTTTCAAGGCCCTGTTTACACTACAGTATACCGGATTCGCTGGTCACGACATCTTCTTTTGCCGTTACGGAGCAATGGTTAGTAGCAAATGCTTATTAGTTTGACAGAATTGGCATGTTTATTTGGGTCTCTGAGATTAAAAATCTTCACAGCCTTTCAATACCTACAAAAAACCCCCACTCCGATAGCAATCCGGTATAGTGTAAACGGGGCCTCAATTTGGCCAATAAAACTGAGAAGGAAATATTTAAAAATACTTACGGAAATTTAGCTTTTATCAGGTCGATCTGAAAACCTATCGCGCAGGAATAGAAGACCATGCTCCCCTACAATCTATATTCATTCATACTAAATAATTAGGCCCTTATAATTTATATGTATAAATAAAAAATGCTTCGTCATGTCATGGCTTACAAACTAATACGTATGGGAGGGGAGAGTAAGCAGAGCCAGAGATAAATACGGTCTTCTTTCATTCCATTGAAATGGTTTCATCATTTCATTCATCAAATCTTGAATCCTGGGTTCAGTTTTTCCTATACGTAAACTGTGATTTGAACTGAGATTCCGGCTTTTCAAAGCGCGTTTTGCTTTGCATTTCTAAATTTAAATGTCGGCAGGAAGCCTACTACCGGGAAGTATAGACTATAGCTGTAGTATATACAAATACTGGGAATTTGTAGTCTCAGAAAAAGCTGACAAATAAAAAGAAAATTATATTTTTATGTCTAAATGTTTTGGATCTTGTAAAGGTGTTACCTAAAGCGAGAAGCAACCGCAGTATTTGCATTCAATCTTTATTACTTTATAAATAGTAGATATAGCCTACTATTCAATAAAGAATAACCGCGACTAATATTTTCAAATACAGATAGAGTAATACAAAAGAGTATGATAATAACATGTATATCGTCGTAACAGATAGTGAGATACATATACCGACCGACGACCGTAGAATGTGACAAGTATAAATAAACTAGACTGACCCATGCAACAACGAAAATTTAATTAACAGTATATATTCGAGACTATAATTGGATTTGGCTCTGAGCCTCTGTATGTCTATAGTCTTCACAAAGGAACAGTTCACTGAAAGAAAACCCAACTTTGCCAGTTATATGACATGAATGAGTTTTGCATGCATATTAGGAAATTCTTGCCTAAATCGAAAGTACATTTTCAGCCTAATATCTTGCGTTCCGTTTTCATAGAATACGCATTTAATAGTAGCAATTGTCTTTTTAAGACTCAAGTGGGCTACTAAAACAAGAAAATGTTAAAGTAAACTTACGAATATTGACAAATGAATGATCGTCTAGTTCTATTGCATTTCTCCTCCAGACGTTCTTGCATTGCGTCATATATTTATTTAGCATACAAATTATGTGTGGGAGGGGAAGTGACGAAACAAAAAGGTCAGATTACACGGAATTCCCTTCTTTTCCAAGATTTTCTCAAAATTTTCAAGGAAACAGATAGCGAATAAATATAACAAACTAGGTTTTAATTGCCTCACTTCGTAACACTGTCATATCTAAGAGATACTTGACCATTTAAGTACAAACAACCTTTCACGTCCGTTCCCACCCGCCATCATGTGACCAAATGTTTGACATACACCAATAAATATAAGTACAAACTACGATACAAACATTAGCCTGCAAGCAGACGTTCTTGTTGAGCGACGAGGCGAGTACTCTCTTCCCCCCTCTTTCTTCCCCCAAAGACAGTCGTGTTTACAGGCTCTATACCCAGAGGCTATACGTCCTATACCACAGCGGCAGACCTCTCAACTTTGCAGAGAAGTTAAGAGTGAGATCAGGGACGTAGCGAAGGTGTGCTAGTTGGGGGGGGGGGGGGGGGA